GATCAAACAACACCTCAATTTCAGCGCCTTGGCTGTAAGAGCCTCCCCCCTGGTTGCTCAGAGCAGGTGGCGACATTCGAACCCTGCCTCTTGAATCGATGGGAGGCGAGGGTAAGGGTTCGGATTTCGCCACGTGTTCGTAGAGGACTCCTGGATGGGGTCGGAGGATCCCGCCGCATCGCCGATGCATCGCATATGCATCGGCATTTCATCGGCGTCGTCGGCGATTCATCGGCACCGACGGCGTGGAGCAAATCGGGCTCCGCATCGAGCAGCATCGCCGATACATCGGCGATGCATCGGCAATGCACTGGCGACGTCGGCGATACATCGATGACGTCGGCGTGGAGAAACTCGGGCTCCACATCGAGCCGCTTCTCGGACCCCATCTACCCCGACCCCATCTACTGAGCAGGGTCCGACCGTCCCGGCAATCCTGTAGGCCTACCACGAAATATTCTTAGAACCCACAAATGTCCTAATAACGAGAATTAACCTGACGAAGGACCCAACCATATGCAACTGCGACTACCACATCGTGGGAACCGCTTTCGGTAGAGCTCCCTCTGGGGCCACGAAACGTGTCAGGGGTGTGCCGACTTGGGTGGCGGGGACGCATGCAATCTCTGCCTTTTGGGCCTTCAGTTAAGCTCCCTCAGGGGCCACCAAACGTGTGAGGGGTGTGCGGAATTGGGTGGCGGGGACGCATGAATTTGGGCCTTCGGTGGAGCTCCCTCTGGGGCCACGAAACGTGTGAGGGGTGTGCCGAACTGGGTAGCGGGGGCGCGTGCGACCTCGGTTTTTCGAGCCGTCGGTGGGGCTCCCGCAGAGGCCACGAAGCGTGGGAGGAGTGTGTCGACTTGGGTGGCGGGGACGCATGCAACCTCAGCCTTTCGGGCCTTCGGTGGAGCTCCCTCAGGGGCCACGAAACGTGTGAGGTGTGTGCCGAGTTGGGCGGCGGGGACGCATGCACCCTCGACCTTTCGGGTCTTCGGTGGGGCTCCCCCTGGGGCCACGAAAAGTGTGAGGGGTGTGCCGAATTACGTGGCGGGAACGCATGCAACCTCGGCCTTTCGGGCCTTCGGTGCAGCTCCCCCTTGGGCCACGAAGCGTGTGCGGGGTGTGCTGAATTGCGCGGCGGGGAAGCATGCAACTTTGGCTTCTTGGGCCTTCGGTGGGGCTCCCCTTGGGGCCACGAAGCGTGTGAGGAGAGTGCCGACTTGGGTGGCGGTGACGCATGCAAACTCGGCCTTTTGGGCTTTCGGTGGAGCTCCCTCTGGGGCCTCCACACGTGTGAGGGGTGTGCCGACTTGGGCGGCGGGGGTGCATGCAATCTCAGCCTTTTGGGCCGTCGGTGGGGTTTCCCTCAGGGGCCACGAAACGTGTAAGGGGTGGCGGGGGCGCATGCAACCTCTGCCTTTTGAGCCTCCGGTGGGGCTCCCTCTGCGAACACGAAACGTGTGAGGGGTGTGCTAGATTACGTGGCGGGGACGCATGCAACCTCGGCCTTTTGGGCCTTCGGTGAAGTTTCCTCTGTCTGGGGCCACGAAACGTGTGAGGGGTGTGCCGAATTGGGCGGCGGGGACGCATGCAACCTCGGCCTTGTGGGCCTTCGGTGGAGCTCCCTCTGGAGCCACGAAACGTGTGAGGGGTGTGCCGAAATTGGGTGGTGGGGACGCATGCAACTTCGGCCTTCTGGGCCTTCGGTGGAGCTCCGTTTGGGGCCACGGAACGTGTGAAGGTGTGCCGACTTGGGTGGCGGGGACGCATGCAGTTTCGGCCTTTTGGGCCTTCGGTGGGGCTCCCTCTGAGGCCGCGAAACGTGTGAGGGGTGTGCCGACTTGTGCGGCGGGGACGCATGCAACCGCTGCCACAGGAACCTTCGGTGGGGCTTCCCATTGGGCCACGAAACACTGTCCTGGGTGGGTGAAACGCACGGAAGGGGGAGGAGGGGGAGGAGGGGGAGGGGAGTAGGAGGGGAGAGGGGAGGAACGCGGGGCACCGTCTCTTCAAAACAAGGACCCAAAACCACAAGATGGTTGGGAACACTGTTCTGAAAGCGTAAACCCGATGTGTTAAACTTAGCATGGCGAAAGACCCAACCATATGCAACGGCGAATGCCACACTGTGGATACCGCTTTCGGTGGAGCTCCCTCTGGGGCCACGAAACGTGTGAAGGGGTGTGCCGCTGGGTGGCGGGGGCGCATGCAACCTCTGCCTTTTGTGCCCTCGGTGGGGCACGAAACGTGTGAGGGGTGTGCTAGATTACGTGGCGGGGACGCATGCAACCTCGGCATTTTGGGCCTTCGGTGGAGTTCCCTCTGGGGCCACGTAACGTGTGAGGGGTGTGCCGAACTGGATGGCGGGAACGCATGCAAACTCGCCCTTTCGGGCCTTCGGTGGAGCTCCAGCTCCGTCTGGAACCACGAAACGCGTGAGGGTGTGCCGACTTGGGTGGATGGGGACGCATACGAAAAGTGTGAGGGGAGTGCCGAATGTTGTGCCTTCGGTGGGGCTCCCTCTTGGGCCGCGAAACGTGTGAGAGGTGTGCCGGCTTGGGTGGAGAGGGGACGCATGCAACCTTTGCCTTTTGGGCCTTCGGTGCAGCTCCCTTTGGGGCCACGAAGCGTGTGAGGGGAGTGCCGAAATGGGTGGCGGGGGCGCATGCAACCTCTGTCTTTTGAGCCTCCGGTGGGGCTCCCTCTGGTAACACGAAAAAGTGAGGGATGTGCCGGCTTGGGTGGCGGTGACGCATGCAACCTCGGCCTTTTGGGCCTTCAGTTGAGCTCCCCCTGGGGCCACGAAGCGTGTGAGGGGTGTGCCGAATTGGGCGGCGGCGGGGACGCATGCAACCTCGGCCTTTTGGGCCTCCCCCTGGGGCCACGAAGCGTGTGAGGGGAGTGCCGAAGTGGGTGGCGAGACGCAAGCATCCTCGGCCTTTTGGGCATTCGGTGGAGCTCCAGCTCCCTCTGGGGCCACCAAACGTGTGAGGGGTGTGCCGTGCCGGCTTGGGTGGAGAGGGGACGCATGCAACCTCGGCCTTTTGGGCCTTCGATGCAGCTCCCTTTGGGGCCACGAAGCGTGTGAGGGGAGTGCAGAATTGGGTGGCGGGGACGCTTGCAAACTCTGCCTTTCGGGCCTTCGGTGGAGCTCCCTCAGGGGCCACCAAACGTGTGAGGGGTGTGCGGAATTGGGTGGCGGGGTGCGCATGCAACCTCGGCCGTTTGGGCCTTCGGTGCAGCTCCCTCTGGGGCCACGAAGCGTGTGAGGGGTGTGCCGAATTGGGCGGCGGGGACGCATGCAACCGCTGCCACTGAGCCTTCGGTGGAGCTCCCTATGGGGCCACGAAGCGCTGTCTTAGGTGGCGTTGTGCGAGCGGCGCTCAGGGGTGTGCTGAAACGAGTGGTGATTATAATGATGATGATGATGATGATGATGATGATGATGATGATGATGATGATGCTGATGATGATGATGACGATGATGATGATGATGATGATCATGATGATGATGATGATGATGATGATGATGATGATGATGATGGTGGTGATGATGATGATGATGATGGTTATGATGATGATGACGATGATGATGATGATGACGATGATGATGACGATGATGATGATGATGATGCTGATGATGCTGATGATGCTGATACTGATGATGATGATGATGATGATGATGATGATGATGATGATGATGATGATGATGATGATGATGATGATGATGATGATGATGATGATGACTGGAGGAGGGAGGAGGGGAGGAGGAGAGGAGAGGAGAGGAGAGGAGAGGAGAGGAGAGGAGAGGAGAGGAGACGCGGGGCACCGTCTCTTCAAAACGAGGACCCAACACCACATGATGGTTGGGAACAAGACAGTCCCAGCCAGAACTGTTCTAAGAACATGTCGTGCAGACCACAGAAGCTTCTTAGAACATTCTTTGGTGGGCCTATAGGCGAGCCAGGACGCTTCGTCACTGCTTGAATCCAGGAATCCTAGAGTCGAGGAAAGAGGGCACCCCGGGGGGGGGGGGGGGGCGTGCGCCGCGCCGGGTGGAAGGGTCCCAAGAGCGGGACCTGCTGCGCCTCGCAGTGGCCCGCGAAGGCCCGCCACCGCTGCGATCTCTGCATCCCCCCCGCCGCCCGCCCGGCTGCCCGAAGCCCCGATCGGCGAGGGGCACGGTTCGGATTCCGCGACCGATCCTCGGCGGCTGGCGAAGGGGGGGGAAGTGCGAAGGAGAAGGCCTTCTCAGCAGGTTCGGACGCCCCCATTGGCCTTCTGAGAAGTGTCCTGAAAGCCTTCCCCGAAGACAAAAACAAAAACTCCTCAGAAGGCGCGAAGGTTTCCGAGAAGTCCCGCCGCCTTCTGAGAAGGCCTTCTCCTTCTCTGGAGGCCTCCCAGATGGGGTCGGAGCAGATGGGGACGGCGGATCGCGCCGCATCGGCGATCATCGCCGATGCATCGCCGATGCAGCGGCGATGCGTCGGCGACGTCGGCGGTGCATCGGCGACGCCGGCGTGGAGAAAATCGGGCTCCACATCGAACTGCATCGCCGATGCACCGGCGATGCATCCGCGATGCGGCGCGATGCTCCACCTGCTCCGACACCATCTGGAAGGCCTAGATTCTCTCGACCCGCGGGAACCTGTGGGACTAGTAAGATCTGTGGGACCTGGTGGGGGACCTATCTGCACTTATAGCGTCTGGGGCCCCCCGGGCGCGCCGCGCGCGCCGTGCGCTGGAAGTGCGGGAGCTGCCCGACGTGCGGGGACCCGGGGAATGGTGGTACTGGTGGGCTCTCTGTGGGACCTGGGGGACAGGCGGGACCTGTAGGAGGAGGAGGAGGAGGAGGAGGAGGAGGAGGAGGAGGAGGAGGAGGAGGATGGTGGCATCTGTGGGACACTTCCTCCCCCTTGCTCGCCGCCGAGGTCCACAAAGCCCAACGGCCGCCGCCGCCCCCCCCCCGCGCCCCCCCTCCCCCCGTGCGGGCCGCCGGCCTGCGTCGCGGCGGCCGGGCCTCTCGGGGGAAGGTGCGAGCGCGTTGCGATGCACGTCGGTCGGAAGAAGTGGGCAGAGACACGAGGCAAGAAGGCGCTGAAAGTAGACAGGGTGTCCGCCCGCCCCCGAAGGGGGACGGACAAGGTGAAGCCACTCGATCGTTGAAGTTAGAAGGCGCTTAAAGCAAATTGGGATCTGGGAATCCAGAAGTAACTACTTTCAACGACCGATGGGTACTGAAGAAACAGCCTCGGAGATCCACTGACCTCGAGCCAATGTAGCCAGTGTAGACCCGGGTCCGTCGGGCTCTGCAGGATCCTGCAAGATCCTGCAGGATCCTGCAGGATCCTGCACGCAGGCCCGGGTTAAAACGTCTCTGACTCTGCAGCATCCTGCAAGATCCGGCGCCCTGGCTGGCTGACTCCTGTTTGCATTGATCCCCCATCTCTTGCGCCCCGACACAAAAAATGGCATAGCCATGAACTTTCGGCGCTCCGCGCGGATTTCTTGGATCGGTGCTCTGGAGCCCCCCAGGCAAGGGGGTCCAGCGCCTCCCAAGAAATCTGCGCGGAGCGCCAACAAAGTTTGTGTCTATGCGGTTGCCTGCTTCTCGAGGTACGGCTGCAGTCCTCGTGCTACCACGAGGGAAGCTGCGCAAGGAGTGGAGGCCGTTTTCGGAGGAACAGGTGCTGATACGGCTGCCGTTCCTTTCGTTCTCGCCCACCCTGTCGCTCTCTCTAGGCCTCAGGGGGGCTTCTCGTCGCCACGGCTGGGCTCGCCTCGAAATGCTGGATAGAACGTACTAAATGGAAAGGTCTGGGGCTGTTCGGACCCTGGCCCCCCTAAAATTAGGTCGGGCATCTCCCCCTACAGGCTGATTTTGACAAGATGAAACATAGCCAAAAAATGCCGATGCATTCTCAACAAAGCGTCGAAACATCGTCCCCAGAGTATTGTTTGACTATTTTTGAATTTTCCTCCTGTAGAGGGACGTGCCCGACTTAACCTTTTAAGGGTTTCCTTTTTTGCAGCCCTCGCTGCCCCGCCCTCCATCGCACCCCACTGACGCGACGTCCAACTCTCCAGGGGTGCGCTCCGGCCGGAACCTCGGCGGCGAATCTGGGCAGCGGCCACGGGGGAGGGTAGAGAAACCGCGCGTGGTGGCCGTGGTTGTCGTGGTGGTGGCCGTCATCGTCGTCGTGGTCGTGGCCGTGATCGTCGTCATAACCTGTCGGAGCTCTGCGAGGATTCCCTGAATCGGCGCGGGGCCCCCCTCTCTGGATCGGCGCTGAACCCCCCATCCCCTGGCCACTCTCGAGCATCCGCCCCAGAACTCCGAAAACTTCTCATGCCAATGCACTTTTCTATTCACTCACTCTTCTCGTCTTGCACGTCGTCGTCGTTGTCGTCGTCGTCTTTCGGACTCCGCCCGGAACTTCAAAAACTTGCCATGTCAATGCAGCTTTCGATTCACTCGCTCTTCTCGTCCGGGAGCGAGAATGATAGAGAGAGAGAGAGTCCCTTAGATTCGACGTCGCGAAAAAATAGAGCATCGTCAGAAATCCCGACCAGAACCCTCGATCCTATCTTTCTGCGGCGTTTCTCGAGCCGGATCGATCTGTGACGGCCCTGGGGCCCGAATCCGTGCCCAAACGCCCGTTGCAAAAAAAAGATGCACCTCCCGGAGCAGGGCGCGTCGAGACAGCGGTAACCCCGAATCGGTCTCCGGATCCCTCCCTGGGACGAAACGCACAAGTCTTCCAAGCTGCGTCCAGCCGTAGCGACGAGGGGCCCCCCCGAAGGCCAACTGAGTGCCGCCTCACCTCGCCCTCCTCTGACTATGGTCGTCGTCGCCCCCGCGCCCCCGCGGCCAACCCCGCGACCCACGCCCGCGACCCGTCCGCGACCGACGCCCGCGACCCACCCGCGACCCACGCCCGCGACCCACGCCCGCGACCCGCGAGTAACCCCCCGAAGCATCCTCGCCGTCTGGTTTTCGGGTCATTCGGGAGCGGCCAAGAGGGGGGTGTCCAAGAGGGGGGGGGTGCAAATCATGAGCAGCGGCATGTGCGCAGCCCAGCGGGGGGGCCAGGGACGTAATGAAGTAAGAAGAGGCGCCATGAAATCTGAGGAAATATCATGGCCCCCGCCACGGTATCCCCCCCCCCTAGTCATCACCACCCTCTTTGCCGCCCCCGAGTCTAAGCTCGTATAATTGTCCAGCGTCCGTCCGGGACAATCCAGGCGCCTCAGGACGCTCGCGGCGGGACGCAAATGCTGGAAAGCACCGCGAGGTCGGAAAACCGCCGAGACGTGACGAAAACGTCCGAGAACCTCAAACCTCGAACCCGAAACCTCGAGCCCACCTCCTCTGACTCTCCCTCATCGCCATCATCGAGGGCAACAACACAAACATGCACTTTTGGAGATCCGCGCGGATTCCTTGGATCCGCGCCGGACCTGGAGCGCGCCAGGGGCGGCGCGGGAGGCGCCACCAGGGAGGCCCAGCGCAGACCCAAGAAATCCCCGCAGAGCTCCAAGCGTTTGAGCTTGCTCATGTATTTTTCGCGATGACGGGCGTGATCGGAAGATCGGGGGCGCGCAAACATGGATTAGCGATCCATGGATTTGGCGCGCGGTCGCCAAATCCATGGATCGGGGGAGGTGCCCTCCCCAGAATGCGGTCGGTGCCGCCTCGTTCGGCGGCTGAAATGCGCGATTTCCCATGGAAGCGGGACCCGTCGCTAATCCGCTCCCTCTTGATCCATGTTTGCGATCGCCTGAGAAGAGGGGGGGGCGAGTTTGTCCTCCCCGACCATCTCACGGCGGGGGGGCGCTGGAGTTATCTTAGGGAATCCTGGAAGAACCCGCAGGACATCTGTTCAAAGGTGGGCAAAAAACAGCGTGACGTGATCCTGGGGGGGGGGAAGGGGGAACGGGGCCAATCACGGCCGTTCTCGCTCAGACCTTACAAACGGGCTCCCCAGACATCCGGCCGCTCCACTTTTTCCGATGCGTGGTCCAGGAAGTCCAGACCACATCCCCGGGGCCGGTTTTTCGTCCCGAGTCTTCTTCTGACGCTCCCGTGGCCTGGCGAGGGCCCCCGATCTTTTTTGACATCCACGGCCAAAACCCAACAAAGGGCAACAGAACCCGCCGAAAGACTTAGCCATTCACCAACATTAAACAGGCACAGCAGCACCAGGTGGAGGCCCCGGGGGTGGGCCAAAAACTGCCCAAATCCCGCCGCTCCAATCCTTCCGTCGATCTGGAGCGTCGCATTTTCTGGGCCGTTGAGCTCCTGCAGCTCTTTCCTCCCTCGACGCTCCCCAGACACCTGGCCGCTCCGAGTTTCTCGATGTGTGGGCCCGGAGGTCCGAGCCGCTCCCCCAGGACCCGCTGCCTGTCCCGAGCGAGGGCCCCCGGGGGCCGAACACTGCTCAAGCCCGGCCGCTCCAGGAATTCCGCCGACGGCCCCAATGGCTGCTTCCGCATGCGCCCGCCGGACAACTTCTGGCACACACGCCCCTCACGCGTGCCGTGGCCCCCCCTCACATAGGGAGCTCCTCCGACTGCGGTGCGTACGACGACGGTGCCCACAACTGCATCATGGTTGGGTCCCTCACCCAGCGAACTTGGAGCACTGGATCTCTTCGACGCTTCTCCTCCTCCTCCTCCTCCTCGCGGCCTCGCGCTGGCCGTGAGCACCAGCACGTTCTCCGCGGCGTGGAGGCCGCGCTCCGTCCGCGCGCCGCGCGCAGCCACCGCGAGGGCGGGGTCCTCGCCCCACGCGCGCCGCGCCGCGGCCAGCACCGCGCCCTCCACCGTCGGCCGCTGGGCCTCCTGCGAGGGGCGAAGAGCTCGCCCTCGCTCGGACGTCCACCCCCTGTACATCCAACCCATATCATAAGGATGCGCCTCGTCGTCCTCCTCCTCCTCGTCCTCCTCCTCCTCCTTCTCCTCCTCCTCCGTATCCAACCCATACATGTACCCCCTCCTCCTCCTCCTCCTCCTCCTCCTCCTCCTCCTCCTCCTCCTCCTTTTAGGACCTCGGAAACCCAATCTCGAAGCTTATCGAGCGGGGCGCGGCCCAGGCTGGACCAAGGAGGCAAGGATGCAAGGGTACCCTTGGGAAGATGCCCATCCTCATAATGCGGGTTGGCTGTGCATGTTTCGGTCTCGCCAGATGATCCAATATGCTCCTCGATGGCCCTCGCCGAAGAACATGCACACGCCCGAGCGATGCCAAGCAGAAACACTAACTTTCGGAGGTCCGCGCAGACCTATTGGGTCGGCGCTGGAACGACAATCCCTGTGGCGCGGAGCCTGGGCGCCGCTTAAATGGGGGGCGGCGTTCAAGGGGGGCGGGGAGAAGGGTGCACATCTCGGGCACTGCAGGCCCCCTTACGGGCCCGAAAGGGCCCCTTCCAGGGCCCCTTTCCGGCAGCATTCGCTGCCCCCCCATTTATTGATCAGCAATGGAAGGACTCCTAAACCTTCGGGAGTGGACCTAAGTTGATAGGGCCACAATCATCAGGGATGGAGTACCTTGTCTGCAACTGTTTCGAACCAAGCCGCCCAAATCTACAATCCCGAATGCAAAGAGGGGGACCTCAGAAAGGCCACGTCTTCACTGTGTTATTAAGGTTAGGGGTTCTTCTTTTCTCAACGACTGATCGCCCCTCTCCTTACGCGAGGCCCAAGGAACGCGCCAGGGGCGGCGCCTGAGGCGCCGCCCGTGAAGCCGGGTGCCGACCGAAGACACCCGCGCGGGCCTCCGAAAGCTCTCCTCCGCCTCCGCCTCCTCCTCCTCCTCTCCTCTCCTCTCCTCTCCTCCTCCTCCTCCTCCTCCTCCTCCTCCTCCTCCTCCTCCTCCTCCTCCTCGTCCTCGTCGCATTCCGCCTTTTCCTCCTGCTCTTCGGTCCGCCATCAGCGATCCTCGATCCTCTATGACTGTGCCGTTTTTCGTTCTTCGTCTCTTCTGCCAGGCGGGGATGCGTCCACGTCCGCCGCCCTGGGGAACCGACGTCTTGGGATCCCAGCTGGCGATGGCCATCCCAGAGACCCCAGAAGCCTCCGAGGTCCTGGGAGGACGTCCTCGGGGATGTATTGGCCCGGGTCAATCCACGCCCGGGTCAGTCAGGCTTTGTATGATCCTGCAATATCTTGGGTGACCCAAAGGTGGGTCCATCTGCAAGTGTACTGCGCCGGAGAATTGTACTGCAGCGTATTGCAACGAATGTAGTGCACGCGAATATCCAACAATACATTTGCGCCCCAGAATGTGTTGCACGCCCCAAATGTATTGCAATCCTACAAGCCATTTTTGCACCAAATATATTGCACCACCCGTTTGTCGCTGGACCCCCTTTTGGGTCAACCCGAAAGATCGTGCAGGATCCTCCACCAGAGCCCGGGTCAGTACACCCCTCGCCCTGCAGGATCCTACAAGATCTGGCGCCCTGGCTGACCCCCGTGTGCACTGACCCCCGTCCTTCGAGCCCGACGTCCTGGAGCCCCCGACGTCGATTGACTGCAGAATTGATTCGCCCCTAACCTGATTTCTCCGCCGGTACAATCAGTCCGGTCCAGTCCAGAAGCCTAGCGCCAGCCACAACGCGTGAGCAATGAATGAAATCATGTGTACGGAAGCGGATGCCTTCAGCACGTCTCTCATACCCTGACCGCCTGCTCCTGCCTGCGAGCTGCACCGCCCTATCCGCGGAAATAGTCAGCAAGTCGCCATGGGAGCCGGCGACAGTCAAACAATTCTTTAGCAACATGGGCCCCCAAGACTGTCTCGGGCGGCCTCTTGTCCTTTTCCCAAAGAGGCTCTTGAGAACCAAACCGCCCGGCTCGAACACCGAACTTCTGACTGGATCCTCGTCTTGCCCTCTGACTCAATGGCCCATGTACAACATCTGTTTGTGTGCGAGACTATCGCTCAGAGGCATCTGTTGGCAAATCTGCACAACTGTATGATTCGACACACGACTGATGTATGACGGGAAGATTCTGCAAATTCGTCTGAAACAATAATTCTGAAACCCGTCGAGCCGTCTTCGCTCGGCCTGGTTAGGACACGCAGAGAATAATACATACGTGAGTTCGGATACCACGCAAGCGTTAGATATACGCAGCTGCTGTCTCCGACCCAAAGTCGAATGCGACCAAATCCTTGCAAGCACCTTGCAATCACTTCTGGCCGCCCCAATTATCCGACTCAATTATGTGCCCGTCCGCAGCAAGAGACGCCCCGAGACAAAGTAGCGACTGCTTCGCTGGGATGTGGACCTCGCTGCGTCCCAAAATATATGCTTCAGTCCTCACTTTCATCAGTTCCAATTTGCCGCATGTGAATTTTTTCTGCCGTAGCGCGAAGCACCAGCCAATGTCCACAACTCGATGTCTCTAGTCAGGCCGCCGGCTGCCAAATGCACGCGCCCGCGTGCTACCCGCCAGGCCCGAAGCAAAAACCCTGGACTGGGGCAGCGAGGCAGGAGCGCTGCTTGAGCATGAATCACGTCGAAATTCTTCATCAGCTCAACCTCCACAAGCTGGACGAACGCATCAACCGATACGTCCCTGCCAGCAACTCCCGGGTCCCGTCCTACGACCGCCGGCGCCGCGCCCGCCGCTCCAGCAGCTGCGTTGGGAGCAAGTCCTGGCGGCGTGCCGACTCCAGCCAGCTGCAAGGCGGCAGCGGCCTGGGTGAGGCCCGGGTCGTCGTCCATGCTCGAGGCTTCGGCCGCGACGGCCGCCATGGTTGTGCACGCGTGCGCCCGCTCGGGCTTTTGCCGCGCGAAGGCCGAATTTGCCCCATGAGAGCAGCAACCCGCAATGGCACCCGCACTCCTCAATGCAGCGCATCAGCTCTTGAACGAGGTCCGGGTAAGAGTCCATGAATAATGTGTCGCCCGCGTACACCAGCTCCCTCGCAAACCGACTTTCAGGTATCGGTCCGGCGCGACTCTGACGCAGCGCGTGCGCGTCCGTGAGAAGTGTCGTCATCACAGTGGTGAACAAGAAAGGGAAAAGTGGACAGCCCTGGCATATGCCGTACCTCTGCTGATGCACGCTGGACGTAGCCCCGAAATTGATCACGACGAACTCCTTATAAATCGATATGACGACGTCCACGAAACCTTCTAGGCAACCGAATCTCCGCAACGATCTGGCGAGCGCGTCCGGCGAGAACGAATCGAACGCCTTGGCCCAGTCAAGTGCCAAGAACAACCGACTTGAATCTCGCGTTGACCATGTGTCGTCCAACATCCGGCGGGCGAGGAACACTGCGTTTGCCGTGCCCGTCCCCGAGCGGAACCAAAATTGGGTTCGCCAGATGCGGTCTTCGGCCCTTGCCTGCTGCAGCCTCTGGAGCAGGATGGCCGCGAACAATTTGTAGCCGATGTGAGGGATGCTGATGGGGCGGTAATTTTCGCATTCAGAAGGGTTACCTTTCTTGAACAACATCGACACCCTCGCATGCTTCCAAACTCCTGGGGTCTTCCCCTGTCTCCAAACGTCGGTGTAGAATTTTGCGAGATAGCTCGGGAGACCTCCCGCGTCGTTCGCCGGTGTGAACAACATACGTAGCATGCTCCATAGATCTACGGAGAATTCTTCTACGCAGTTCTTGTAGACTCGACGGAACTGGCCCCGGCCCCGGCCCCGCTCCCGATCCTAGCCGCGGCCCCTGCCCCGGCCCAAGCCCCTGCCCTGGCCCCGGCCCTGGTCCCAGTCCCAGCCCCCACGCTGATGCCATCCCGGGCCTCGGCCCCGGCGGCCCCCAACCTGGACCTAGTCCCAGCTTCAACAGCCCAGGCCTCAGCTCTGGCTCCCCTCGCGCACATCAGTGCTGCAGTCGATGCCCCTGCTCGAGACGTCCCTGGAGGTCCTGTATGCCCCGCCGCCTGCGGAGGCCTCTGGAAACCGATTCCCTGGGCGGTGGTCTTCCGGATTCAAGGAGGGGATCGACTAGAGAATCGATTTACCCCAAACTTGCTTTTTGTTCCTCCGAAGCCCTGAACAACATATACCGCATAGACCACCCTTCGGGTGATAAGAAGGTGAGGGGGGGGAGGGACCAACGTCGCACTCGATTGATCTCACTATCGAACTCACTACCGATCTCACAATCGATCTCAATCGATAGATCTCACAATCGATCTGACTATCGATCTCACAATCAATCTCACAATCGATCCCACAATCGATCTCACATTCGGTCTCGCTATTGATCTCACAATCGATATCACAATCGATCTCGCATTCGATCTGACTATCAATTTCACTATCAATCTCACTACCGATCTCATTATCGATCTCACATTCGGTCTCACTATCGATCTAACTATCGATATCACCATCGATACCACAATCGATCTCGCACTCGGCCTCACTATCGATCTCTCTATCGAACTCACTTTCGATCTCATTATCGATCTCACGATCGATATCACTATCGATATCACAACCGAACTCACCATCGATCTCACATTCGGTCTCATCATCGATCTCACAATCGAAATGACTACCGATATCATTACCGATAGAGATCTCACTACTAACTCAATCGATCGATCTCACAATCGATCTGACCATCGATCTCACAATATATTATACAATCGATCTCACATTCGGTCTCACTACCGATCTCACTATCGATATCACAATCGATCTCACAATCGATAACCCATTCGGTCTCACAATCGATCTCACTATCGATCTCATTATCGATCTCACATTCGGTAACACAATCGATCTCCCAATCGATCTCACAAGCGATCTGACATTCGATCTCACAATCGATATCACTACCGATCTCACTATCGATCATCAAAACAAAACATCAGCATCGCCCGGAAGGGAGACATTTGGTCCGGCCGCGCCTCAGCCACACGGGACACCAGCGGGACACCGGCGGGACACCGCGGGGCCCCGGCCGCCCGGAAGGGAGACATTTGGTCCGGCCTCGCCTCAGCCACAGGAGACTTTCTCTGGCCCGCCCACGCAGCTTCGCCTCGCCCGCACGCACGGCACGCACGAACACGAACCCGAAATCGATTTCCCGGTAGGGGGGCTCTCCGTTCCACTTCGATCTCACCCCCTCACCTCCGATGCAGAATGTGCGTAGATCTACAATATCATAATACGCATGTTCATTGCCTCGGCCAATTCTGGATTGTCGGCCCCCTAACTTACTTGGAGGCCTTCTAGATGGGATCCGAGCAGATGGGGTGGGAGGATCGCGCCGCATCGTCAATATATCGTCGGCGGTGCATCGGCGACGCCGGCGCAGGGAAACACGGTCTCCACATCGAGCCGCATCGGCGACGTGCCGCGATCCTCCGACCCCCTCTCTTCCGACTCTTCCCTAGGAGGCCTACACTGGAGCAAGCATCCTCCTCCTTTTCCTCCTATCCTCCTCCTCCTCCTCCTCCTCCTCCTCCTCCTACTCCTTCGCCTCCTCCTTGTCCTCCGCCTCCGCCTCCGCCTCCGCCTCCGCCTCCTCCTCCTCCTCCTCCTCCTCCTCCTCCTCCTCCCCCTCCTCCTCCTCCTCCTCCCCCTCCTCCTCTTCCTCCTCTACTCGGACCCATCCAGGAGGCCTAGGCTGCTCGGTGGATGCATCATCTCCCCGCCGCGGGTCCTCGCGGCCGCCCTGCGATAGCAGGCCGTGGAAGCGGGAGCCGATGGGGGGTCCGGGGGCCGCCAGAGGTCTCCCTCCCCTGTTCGAGCGCCCAGGTTCACAGGTTCTTTTTATAGCTTGTCCGCCTTCCACTTTTGGAGGCGCGCAGATGGCGGAGTCGGCAGGATGAGGGGGAGGGGGTATGAGGAGGACGAGGAGGAGGAGGAGGAGGAGGAGGAGGAGGAGGGGGAGGGGGAGGGGGAAGGCTTCTTAGAATGGGGGGGGGCTGCTTCTTAGAAGGCGGGGGCCTTGTATGTATAGACAAGGCCCGCGCCTTCTACTGAAGAAGCAGGTGTGCTTCTAAGAAGCATTCCCTCCCCCCCCTATCCCCCTCCGCGCGTGGCTGACTCGTCTCCACGGCTCGATCCGCCTCAAGATTCTGGTCAGGACGCATCCCAGAACAGGTACCAGGGGCCGATGTTTGAGCCCTGAACCCTGACGTCCTCGCGTCGCGAAAAGATTGGGCAAACATGACGATGTCGGATGCCTCGGAGGGTAACTCAACCCCGCCTTTTGGGACAAACTGGCCCTGGCCTAACTGGCGCTTCGCCCTTCTCGAGCCTGTGGAGTTTGGTCGGGCATGTCCGCCCTACAGGCGGATTTTGGACGAACACTGAAAAATAGGAAGAAAAAAACAAATACCCCGAAATAGTCAGAAACAATCAAAAGATCATCCCCAGAATATTTTGTTGACTATTCTTGAACATTCCTCCTGGAGAGGGACAGGCCCGACTTAAGTCTGGATGCCGGAAGCGGCTCGGAAGGGAATTCCCCCCGCCCTTCTGGACAGCACGGCCCTGGCCTCACTGCCGCTTCGCCCTTCTGGAGCCTCCGGAGGCCAGCTGCGGGCCCTGGGGCCCTGCGAGAGCGGCTCGAGGTGGAACACCGGCCCAGGCGAGGGTCTGACGATAACGACGCTAACAGCGACAACAACGATACAACGATCACACTGATGACAACGATAACGACAACGAGAACAACGATACCAACGAGAACAGCGACAACGATAACAACGACACCGACACCAACGATATTGCTGTCGTTGTTGTCGTTGTCGTTGTGGTCGTTATGATCGTTGTCGTTGCGATCGTTGTCGACTTCTGGGGCCCTGCGCTTCGGACAGACTCGGTGCGCCAGAGGACTGGGAAAGGGGGGTGGTGCAAAGGTGCGCGGCCTTCTGAAAAAGATTGGGGGGGTCTTCTTTCGAGTGTAGGGGATCGACTGCAGAATTGACTTATCCCCAAACCGATTTCCCCCCTCGAATTTACACATAATGCGTGGAATGCTCCGTAGATCCGCGGAGCATTCTCTACGCATGTTCTCAGCACCGACGGAGAAATCAAGTTCGGGGCAGCTTTGGCGGCGCGCAAAAGGGGGTGGAGGGAGGGGGGGGGGGCGTCTTAGAAGGAGGTTGCTTCTGAGAAGGCGCCGGCCTTACATCTGTAGATAAGGCCCGCCCTAAGAAGCAGGGGCGCTTCTAAGAAGCCCCCCCCCTCCCCTTCATAAGAATCCCTCCCCCCCCTTCCTTCGGCGTCGATCGCCTCGAGGGGTCGGATCGGAGGGGTCTCCTTGAGAGGCAGGGGCCTTCGTAGCAGGGCTCTGTAGGGCCCTGGAGGCTTCCGGGAGAGCTTCCCAGAGGCCGGGGGCGGGCCTGCAAGAGGTCCCCCTGCCTTCTCAGAAGCTCCCCCCCCGTCCCCGTAGACGGCCGACCCCCCCCCCCCCGTGGCTCAATCCCCGTGTGCGCGGAGGAGGAGAAGGAGGAGGAAGAGGAGGAGGAGGAGGAAGAGGAGGAGGAGGACGGGGGGTAGGAAGGGTGGGGGGGGGAGGGGGAGGAGGAGGAGGAGGAGGAGGAGGAGGAGGAGGAGGAAGAAGAGGAGGAGGAGGAAGAGGAGGAGGAGGAGCCAACGCCGAACTTCCCCAACGTGGCCCAGCCTCTACAAATAGAGCACGGATGAGTAAACGGAAACTCGATGAGCTCCTCGCGGACCCCCAGGATCGGCGCTGGCTCCCCCCCTCCCTGGCTCGCGGAGCGCGCCAGCGGCGGCGCGACCACGGGGCTCCGGCGCCGATCCAAGG